TCACAACATGGTTTCCCCACTTCTGTAAGTTTTAGGGAAAAGAAGTTTTTTTGCATCTTTTGCAGTTCCAAGCTGCCCAAAAGTTAGCCATTAACATGGTAATGCATTGAGTACAGTCTTCATTCATTTTCTCAAGGTGCTATTCCTATGAAACTTTCCAGTTTCCTTTTTCCATTTAGATAACCTTCGTCGGAGTACTGACTGTGTTAGAATTTCTTAAGATTCTTCAAAGGCAAATCTTCCGCTTCCCTTTCACATTCAAAACTAAAAAAGCATTTATAGCAAAATCAAACTATGACAAGGAGGAAGAGACCGCTGGAATATGTGGTAAGTGAAATTGGGGAAATGGAGACTCAGGCTACCCAACTGAATTAAACGATTTAATTCAACAAGCATTGTGCTTCCAATCTTCACTAATCGTGTTCTTGGTCTTTATCTATTATTTAGCAAGCTAAACAATTATTTCCACTCCCCCGACTCGGACACAGTGGATCTGGAGCAGAGCAAAATAACGAGGTTCATTAAAATTTGCTAATTTTGAGTTATCATAAAAGTTAGCATACCCTGCAAAAACTTTTAGCTGACACAGCAGCCATGTTCATCTAATGAACGAACACTGAAGAAAGCAAGAGGGGTGGGAGAACAATGTGATGAAGAAGTCATAATCGTACGCTTTTGTTCAATTGAAATCTTGAACCCAATTGATGAATTCTAGCAGGGACCGTATACGCATTTAAGGCAGCATGCAGTCAAAATGTCATTTACTAACGCTGAACTGAGAGGAGTAGAGGATGATATGGTTACTGCTAAGTGAATTGCAACACTACAAAGTATACACCTCAGCAAACTTCACTTTTAGCAAATACGCTGCATAAGAAGTGCTGCTTTGAAGAAGCTTGCTAGACTAGTGAAAGATTTTGCTAATAGCATTTTTTGCGAGTAGTGCAATATCAACATAGGTTGCGCAATCCGTAGCTTTTGTAGTATCATCACCAATATCGACTCCATTACTTTTTAGACTTCAGCGCGGCATGCGCAATCTACGGCTGAAGCTTACATCAGAAGCACGAGAACGGGAACAGCCCAGGTACGTAAAAAAGATGCCGTTTACACAGCATCAAAAACCAGCTGAAGCTTGGCTGTTCAGCGTACACTTCCATCTGAGCAGCTCAATCCAACCGAAGCTGCTATCGATAGGAGAGACAAGGACATAGAGCATGGCGATGAGGTACAGTTAGCGTCCGCTTACTCTTAGCCAATCCTCTTAGCAGATAGCGCATGCTAAGCAATTATGTACCGATAACGGCATCACTAAGGCTACAGCTGCGAGCGTAAGGAAAAATGAAGAGTTGTAAGCGCTTTCAATAAACGTTCAGCTTCACACTTGAAAATTCCAGCATATGCTGCCTGAAGAATCTCTGACCGAAACTCCTGCTAGAAACACGAGATCGCGGAAAGTCCTAATAAATGAAAAG